ACAGACAGACAGACAGACAGACAGACAGTCTGGCACAGTCGACTGACAGACTGACAGACAGACAGACAGACAGACAGTCTGGCACAGTCGACTGACAGACAGACAGACAGACAGACTGGCACAGTCGAGTTGACAGACAAACAGACAGACAGACAGACAAATATGAATACAAAACAGTTCAGGAATGGCCAGTCAGTGCCTTGGTTGGGTTTTTATCTTGAATGCCTGCTTCACAATATCAAATTCGTAGTTGTTTGTGCATGTTCTTAAAATTTTGTGTAAAGAAGAATCTCTTCAGACCATATGTGATGGCTTTGCAGGCCGTATATGGCCTTGAGTATGGTTTGCCAACCCCTTAGGTAGTCTGAAGACTCATCACCCTCACCCTGTGCTGTGAGATGTCAAGAAAACTTTTGTTTATAATGAGCAGAGCCATTTACAATGCTAAGTGATAAAAAAATCCAAAATAAATATAAATTCAAAATAGGTAGTCTACCTGCAGTATTGTTTAATTAGAAAATCCAACAAGTGGAAGGATTTATTCAGTGTGCAAAGTAGGGATATCCATTGAGGAGTTCTTTTGTGTGCAGTGTTACTCATGAATAGTAACTAGTAAAATTGAAAAACTGTTCAAAGACAATTGGCTGAGAATGGGTAATGCATTTTCTGATTTGTCACCCAGACCTTTTTGTTAGGATGAGTAAGTATGTTAAACAAAGCACAGCTGCACTGAGGAGGCAATTATCCCTCTGTTTGTGATATTAGTTTTGTTGTTAAAGCATAACCAACATTGCTAGAATACCAAAAATAACATTTAAAGTTAAAATTTAGATTAGTTTTGAAGACAATTTCATAAAAAGTGAAAGAAAAATGTGAATTAAACATACATTCATTTTTTCTCCAACATGCACGGTATTTTTGTTCATACATAATTTGTAAAATAGTGTCAAACTTGCTTTTCAAGAGTTATAAACTCGGTAATAGTTAAATAGAAAGTTAAAACATGCCATAAAGGGAATTTTGGAGTATTAGTGCAAGTTGTTACATCTTCTCTACAAGGAAAATTCAAATAAATGATTGATATTACCTCAGTTTAGGGTATTTTATTAGGGCCTGGAAAGTAAGGATTAGTATTATAAATTGAAAGACAGTTTGTATCAGAACTCTTCTATTAGTTAAAATCATCTGCTGGTTTTGAGTGACAAATGTCTCAATTGTATTAATGAAATTTTTTTATCTCTTAAAAGACCCTGGAAAAATTCCCTGGTATTGTGTCAGCATTAGTTGCCACCTTGGGAATTAATCGTCTGAGCCCCGCGGGAGCTGAAGTTTATCGTGTGTGCTTGGCTGCTTTCACTGATGTGGATGCATGGTGCTGTTGGTTCTTGCAACCCTTGCTCACTCTCTTGACCTCTCCAAGAGAACAAGACAGGTGAGTTTGTCTTGCCCCCCCTCCCCTTTTAGTTAGTTTTATAAATGCTTTGTTTCTTGGGGACATTTGAACTTGCAGTAAATGCCAAGTTATCTATAAAATTGAGAAGATAACAAGTAGAGGAGTATATTTGCATTCTTTTCAATATGACCTTAGCAAGACAGTACGGATTGGACACTAATCTTCAGACTTGATAAAGGTTTTTTTCCCTTAAATGAAAAACAACTTCTGAGTGGTAAGCAGCTTAAATTGAAAGAGGACATTTTAACAAAAGAACTTTCAGACATTTTTTTTTTTAACTGTTCTAAAAACTGAAATTATTAAACTTTATGGTCCTGTTTGATATTTTACACACATTTTTGAGAGGTTGCCAGTTCTTGAACATTTTCTTTCCTTCCCTTCTTGTACCTCTCTTTGATGCTCAGAATGCAAATTTCCTCACTCTATAGGTGACACATCATGCCGACAGACAGTCCACCATGATGGCAGGTAGGGTGTCTTGAATTTTGAAATGAAACATTTGGGAAATGTTAATTTTTTAAATTTCAAATTCATTTTTTTAATTTGTCTACAAAGGAAGAGGAATTTATGGAAACCTTCAGTGTTTCGTGTGCAATCAGCCAATGCCCAAGGTTATAACATTAAATAATGGCCTTGCAGTTTGAGAAATAAATATTATCAATAGATATTAGTTTCTCAGTGAAGGTTTTTTTATTTGCTGTGTAATCTTGTTGTCATGTTTTTCGAGTGTCTGAAAATGTTAAATGTCGAAATAAGGAAAATGTCAAAAAATGCTCAATTTGGCATTTTCTATGTTCTTCAGAACTGTGTTAGGGAATAGAAACTAATGTACATAACTCTCAAGATAAAGTAATTTTATAATAAATAATAAACAAATGAAAATAAAATACTCGTAATTAATATACTCACTAAAAATCTAACAAATTAAGAGAAAATCAAAAAAAACTAGCTTCTTTATCAAATTCAAAGAAATACATAGATGGGAACATGACATTACACACAAAAAAGAATGAAGGTGGTCGAGGCAATAAAACATGAGAAGTGCTTAACATTTTACTTTTGAACTTTAAACAAGCTAAGCAAGATTTTTTGAAATGTCTAAACAAGTAATATAATGGAAATGAGAATTCAGATGCAATATGTGGGAAAACTTAGAGAAATGATTGCTAATGGGGAAACTGCTAATGATATTCCACTGGATTTAGTGAAATGATCTCATGGAATTTTATATAGGTGTCCATATCATCTATAAATGTTGTTTGCAACATTATTAAAATGTTGGGCAAATAGTTGACCTAGTGTACCTTTATATAATAGATTTCTTCTTTAATAGTGTTTTTTCTTTCTTTTTCTTAGGTTAGCCCAGTTGAGCCTGTTAATGCGGTGGCTTCCTCCAACTCTCCGCAAATTTCCAGTTCTCACAGAAATTATGAACAATGAGTTGTTGTCAAACAGAAATGAGAATTTACGAGTTGATGTAGCCCTAAGTGCATTAATACATCAAGCACGCAAAGAGGGATACGTGGCAGAACTTTGGCCACAGTTTTCCTTTATTGAGTCTTTTCTTATTGATGGTGATGAGGAAGTTCGAAAACATGCTTTTGGGGCCATATGTAAGAAAACAAAGAAGTCAGCAATTCCACCAGCTGAAGAATTTGAAGCAGTAAAAAAGTTTCTGAAAGAAAACGTTAATGTGGACAGCAGTACACTGAGGCAAAGCATTGTGAATTCTTTTTCTCATTTCCTTGAGCGAATGTATGAGTCGTGTGCAAAACATATAGAAGGGGAATGTTCTGTACTGAAGCCAAATCTTTCATTCCTGCATTGGATGCATAAGTTTCTGCTTGGTAATTTGAAACTGGGTGGAAACTACCAGCGAATAGTGACTTCTCTTCAGTTGTATTTGGAGGTGATTTTTTTTTTTTTTTTTAAATTTTAATTTTTAATTGTGTCTATTTCCTGTGAAATGTGAAAGAAATGTTTTTTTTCTTTTATTTTGTTTACTTGTGATGTTTTCTCTAATTATCGTCTCTAATATTAAAGGAAACAGAAGGGGCATTTGAATATTGTTTTTTTCGACTTAATATTTTAACATTAATTTATTTGGATGTAAATAATGAAGTTGTTAAATGGCTGTAGAGAAAAGACTTGTCTAGACACTTAAGAACCGCAATGGTTATTTCGTAAAAAAACATGATTTTCCTATAATTGGCACTTGAGTTTGTGATGTGAATTGCATTTGCTGAGCATCAGATATGGAGGCTGTTCAGGAATTTAAAATTCAGTTTTGTGAATGGCAATTGTTGAAACATCACTTTTCTGAACCACAGCTATATGTTTCATATCTTTTTCTTTATTGCTTCATGTACACTTGTGTGCAAAGAGAAACTTCAGAATCCCTTTAAAAAAAATCATCAGTTGAAAAAAGTGACTTGAAATTTATGTTGAATTTTTTTTTATTTGACTTGAAATTTATGTTGTTTGATGATTGATCTTGTGGATCAAAGTTTTTAATTCGGTCTTACAACTTTGCAGAAACTTTTATATTCAAATTAATTATTGCTAAAGTTGCTTCTCTGGTGAGTTTTCCATTGTACTTTTGATCAGCTATTGTCAGTTGTGTGTTCCAAGGTCCCAGCAAGCCAAAACTTTTAGAAATTTTCTGAACATAACTTTTTCAATTTTGCTGACTAAAAGCTATATTTTTGTTCACATAACTTCACTGTGGATCTACAGTTTTGTACTGCTACAATACTGAAATCAACATTCTATTTTTTACAAGTATTTCTCATTTTCCGAAAACTGAAGCAGTCTAAAATTATTCACTACAGTAAAATCCGGAGATGGTTTAACCATGTGATGGAACAGACTCGCCTAATTTATTATTTTATCATTTTGAATTTCTTGTTTGATAAACCCTTTTGGGGAGGATACCTTTTAGCTGCTCTAATTTTATTTCATTTGTGAATAAATACATACACTACAACAAATTGATTGATTCATTAATCTTGAATGAACAATGATTTTGTAAAACAAGATAAAATCAAATTAAACCAAATATTGGTGTGCAGAATTGAAATCTGAGAACTATCTTTTTTGTATCATAGCAAGTTTTTTATATTGTGGACTGAAATTTTTATTTTTATTGCAATTTGTAATTTTTAATCATGTTTTTAAGTACCTGAAACACTCTAGGGCATAACAAACAAGGTTTATTTTAAACTTCTAAAAGTTATTAGTAAATTTTAAAAAACTAGTTGTAATGCATGGCTTACTCAATTTTTAAAAGTCACATGGGTTTCTTATAAAGTAGTCCAAAAATTAAAATATTGTAAAAATCTCTGGAATGTCAGAACTAGGTCTTACACAAAACATTATTGCCAAGTATCAGCTCAAAGCTTCTAAGCTGATGGAGTTTGGCGTGACGATTCATCCATCTTACCAACATCCCAATTTTTGGGTACAGAATTGCATCTATCTCCTCACCACCAACACCAATCTTAACCATCTTTGGTAGAGCGCTAAAAGATTTTAGTCCTAACATGTGTGTTGAGTTACAGTGCATAAGAACCTTATACACTGGTATTACATCTGAAAATCCAAGATTGTATTGTTGTTCCAATAATTTTTCCTGCCAATACTACATGAGGGGTTGAGAATGCAAGTGATGTAAGTCAGTTGGACCTAATCTATTGAGAGATAGGGATTTGCATCTGAACAAAGGGAATCAAATGTATACTTCATACTTCAGCATCAGTAATTTTGAACTATTGTTAAGACAGAGGGCTCAGCAAAAATATAATTTTCCTGACAACAGAGTAGATAGTAATAACATATACAAATTTTCTTCCTTCATAGATTAGATCAAACCTACTTACACCACTGGTATGCTTTACCCCAGATAAGACGGAAAAGTAACGAAAGATGCAATAGTAAAATATTTTTTCTTCTCTTAAGTGGAAAAAAAATGTTGCAGAAACTGGCATTGTGCACATGTTTGCCACTGTTTTTATTCCTGTAGTTTGACCTGAATCATTGCAATATCTTGTTTTTGTCAAACTCTTACATAAGGGTTAAATAAGAGTCACTAAATTAAAAAAAAAAAGATTTTACAACAGATCTTAGGATTGGGTAGGAGGACTGTGTTACATTGATCTGACATTTCCTGCCAACTCCCTGACAGTGTTGTGCATGACATTGGAATGAGATGTTTGATGAAGAGTAGAAAAAAACATTTCACAAATTATATTTAGATTTTTAACAATGTATTTAGAAGTTTAGAATTTTATTTTTTTTATTTATAGTCCACAATAATTCAGGCATTTCAAAATACTGAGTGAAGCAGTTTCAACTTTGCATATGCAAAATTAAATAGTAATATAATTTTGAGCATTGATTCTTAGCAAAACATTCTTAACAAAACAACTTTTTCAATTAATTTTCTTTCTTTACACCACCCATACAAATTTCAAAATTTAATGCCTTTATATTTAGAATGGTTCAAAATTTTAAAAAATATTTTCTACTTGCAAAGAGATAACTCTCATAACACTGTATAAAAACTAATTCTAAAGTTGGAATTCGAAGAAATTACTTCTGAAAAAATATTTTCAAAATATTCAAAGTAGTTTTTTTAGGACATTGGATCTTCATAAAACTATGAAAAATATGACTTTTTAAGATATTTTAGTGATTTGAGTGAGTATAAATATAAAAATCATTTCTAAAAATGAGAATGTATTTTATTTTCGCTAATTCATTTTAAAATGAATTGGTTCGATGTGGTTCCATATATATACAATGGCCTAAAGAGAAAGGTGCACCTAGCAAAGAAGAGCTTTGTTAGGGTGAAGAGATGTTTGTATGGAACTACGTCGTTAGTTTATGCCAATACAATAAAATATTGAGATACTGTGAATAATACAATACATAACAAAATACAAAAATGTATTTATTGCACTGCTATAAAGTGTATTTACCCTATAAGTATATTTGCTAGAAAAAATACATATTGTTGGCACTATTTAATTATTATATCCCAAATTAAAATAATGTATCATTATGGAACAAGTTTGTGAAAGTTACATGCAAATGTCATGCAAATTCCATTATAAATTGCAAACAGAAATCATCTATTCTTATTTTTATTATTATCACTATTATTATTATTGTTGTTTTTGTTGTCATCGTCATTGTAATGGCAAAGGCTGGCTGGTGTTCAACATTCTCCTTCTGTGTTTCTGGAGATGTGATGCACTGTAGATGCCTGAAATGTCACAGCAGTCCTCGTTCGTTCTTTGCTCCTGGGGTTACTTCTCTATCAACCCTTCATTTGCATCCCTGCGGGATTGCGTAGGCCAGAGCTCCAATGTGTGGGAATCGTCACAGCATTGCTTGTTGAGCATCAGCAAGCTAAAGATAAGAGCTGTCGTCGCATGCCTCTGGAAGTCAGGCGAGAAATATCCTGTTCTGAGGACTAGGTTGAAATGCTCTGAGAAAACTGTTTCCAATTCTTAACTAAAAGACTTGATGGATACAAAAAATGTTTTGGATTCAGCACACCAAAATTAGGTTTAGATATCAGTTCAATTTCATTCCACAGAAAGCAATTTTTCTAGGCCAGTATAATTTGTGATATATTTATGCCTCTGCATAATATTATATTATTATTATTATTAACTTGATTGGCCACATTGGACCACTTGAGTCGTTCCACTTCACTTTTTACTGTTCATGGTCGACTGTCGAAGGTGTGTCACCTTGAGGTGAGGATAAATCCTCGAGTTACAATTCTGAATGTTATTCAGAAAGGTGATAATGAGAGATGGAGGATGATGGATGATAGGGGTGAAAGGACGAACACAATACAACCATGCCCGAGGCGGGACTCTAACCCGTGTTCTTTCGGTACGAGATCGCTACGGCACTACTGCCTTAGCGATCTCGGCCACCGGATCAGCATAATATTATATAATGCAGAATGTGTATTTTTTTATTCTATGGATCTCAAGAATTGTGTACCTATGTAGCATTGTGTACCTGTATTTTGTGTATTCAACATTGTCAATGTACTTGTCTAATTCTTAATTCTCACTTCCCGTAAGTATTGAAGCAGCTTTTATCATTTTTATCAGATACTATAAACAAATTACATGCATTCACATTCACATCATTGCCACACAAATGATGAATCTTTTTTTGTACTTTTTAATAATATTTCTTTGTGTGTCGGATTTGTGGTCTTAAATATCTCTTAATAAAGATGAATTCTTGATTCAGATATATGTATGTGTAAATAACAGATATATTTATTGCTATTATTGTTATAAGGAATGGATAGTTTATGTGTCAACATTTTTTCCTTGAATGTGAATATCTTTAAATTGTGAACACATAAAGAACGATGTTGGGAAAATATGTTAAGAATTTTTCTAGTTCTCTTTTCAACAAATAAGAAGTTTTGGCAGCTCAAATTGGCATTTTTTTTTTTTCAAAGTGCATTTGAAAAAAGAAATTATACACATGAACAAGTTTTTGAAGTTTTATCATACAATGTACATCTAGTGAGATTTACATTGGAAGTATTTTTCTCAAAGTAAAAGCAATAAGTAGAATGCATCTAAAATTCAATGAAATGTGATGCATCCTAGAAAGCAGTGGATTGATTGTTTCTGTCACTAAGTGGGAAATGACTCTTCCTTGTAATTGAAAGCCTATGCATACAAAACAAAAAAGTTTTGTTTCAAAAATGTTATTACCTATTTTGATAGCAAGAGCCCTCCTGTAGTAATTTGTGCTCATTGCCGAATCAGGGCCTCCTGTTAAAAATCGCATTTATTTCAGTAGTCACCAGATCACTGGGAAACAAGTGAAGGGAACATCACATCCAGCATCTCTTAATATTGTGAA